GCGCGTTTACAGCCGTCTGGAGGGTAGAACTTGGAAGCTCAAGCCTAAGCCTCAAATCCTTAAATGTTGAATCTCGGACATTGTGAAGCCATGCCTGCGTGGAGCGAGTGTGTGAGTCGAAATGTTGAATCTTCAACTCTTGACGGGCGAGTAAGTGTTGGTACACCATTAACCGTAAGTCCTAGCTGAAAGCCCCAGTCAAATCCCAAATCCTCAGCTTCGAGCCCTCCTTACCGCAGGTGAACTTCCAAGTCGCGATGCCCGCTGAAAGCGCGGAGGTCACAACAGCCTCCTCGCAGGCATTTGTGTTTTGGGTGTTCAGGTTTTGATACACGGGCCTGAATAATTAGAGCAAAAAACTATCACAGACCACAAAGGGCTCGTTTTTGGTTGTCCGTGTGCATCTAGCGCCCTGCCACTCCCTCTCTCTCTCTCTGTCTCTGCCTCTGTCGCTCCATATATGTGTGTGTATGCTCAGGTGTTGAAGAGCCTGAACCGTAATCGCCGCACTCCCAGCTCTAACCCTAAACCCTAAACCCTAAACCCTAAACCCAACCAAGAACCTCGCCAGGCATGTCCGAGTCGTGAGAGCGTAAACCCTAAACCCAGAGCCCATCTTATAGCGCCCTATCCTTCCTGCAGGTCGAGGCCATGGTTGCGGCCATCTCCGACATGAAGGCTCCGTCTTTTCTGGTCTTCTGGCTTCTGGCTTCCACCCAAAAAAGGCCTCGAAAGCAACCCTAAAGCCTTAGTCTTAGGGTCGCCAGGCCAAGTAAGGTGGCAAAGACCGTGAGACCCCGGACCTCAATCTGTGCTTGGCTATGGCTCCAGCAGAACCTTTTCGGTCCAAGCCCTTACTTGCTGATTACGGCCTGCCTCGGAGCCTCTATAAGGACTTCGAAACCATGGCAGTGGCGCACTTCGACGCTTGGGTGGCTTTTGGGCTTGTCCTCGCAACTTTCCATTGGCGGACTACCTGGGCGGATGCCTTCTGCTTAGTTCAAGAAGGCCTGCACTACTTGCGGCCGGCGGGCTCTTCCGCCGGCGGCTCGGTCAAGCGTGTCAACGAAGCCATGGATCGGATGAGAGAGGAGAGCTACGTTGTGACGGCACGGTTGGCGCAGCATCTCAACGTGGCTTGTGTGATTTCGGTTCCTTTGGTGTATGACGGAGACATCGTAATCTTTGTGGGCATGATGTTTGTCAACCTCTCGCTTTACAGCATGCATTGGTTGCTTTCTACTGGACGACTTCATCTCTCATGCAGAGGTCTCCGTTGTCTCTTTGGCTTCTTCTACCTGCTTCTGCTCGCGTCCCACTGGATTGGTCCACAGTCCTACGGTGTGGAGGCATCCTCGCATCTGAGAGCTTTAGAGGCCTCCCAGATGATCTCAATCCTTGTGTTTGTGGACGGTGGTACCCATGTTTGTGGTCAGCTCGTTTTGGCTCTCTCGGAGGTGTGCCGGCATGTCCTGAACCATGGTTGGGAGCCCATGGCACTGGTCCTGACCATCCATGGACAGCTAATCTTCTCGGGGCTACTCGTCATTTCCGCCATCGTGCTTGAGTTTACTCTCCGGGGTTGCGTGGCCGCACAGTTTCAACACTCTGATGCCGAGTCTTTGGTTTCAAGCTTCCGCACACTCTTGCGTGGCATCAGTGATGCAGAGTTGCTGTTGGACGACAAGCTTCGGATTGAAGCGAGCACGGGTTTGAGTCACATTCTGCTGTCAGGGAATGCGTGGGAGGGTATCGCATTTCAGCAGCTGCTTTCGCAGGACAGTGAGGAGAAGCTGCGATTCCAAAGCTTTATCTCAAGAGAGCGAGAGGGCGACAAGCAGACGGAGGCAACTCCGTCTTGTCTGCGCGTGTCTCTTCAGACCGCGCAGCAGCAACGTGTTGGTGTCGACCTGTTCCATGTGCAAGTGCCGCGCTTGTATGGCTGCACGGATGCCTATCATCTGCTTGCCATGAAGATGGATGCAGATTCAATTGTGCCGCCAGAGGCCGCGCCGGCGCAGAATCCTCCTGTGACCTTGAGGAGTATGAGTTCCGTCGGCCATGCTCCTCGCTCCGCCAGCTCCCAGACACCATCCGAAGGATCCTTGCTGCCGAGCTTGCCACACTTGAGTGAGCTCGTGTTGGTAGTCGATGGGCACCAGCAACAGGAAGTAGTTCAAGTGCACGTGCAATACATACAGCCCCAGCGACCCCGACGAGAAGAAGAAGGCAACCTGAGGAACCCAGCAGAGACCTTCCCCACCTTGCGGCAGTTCGTTCGACCCACGGAGCGGCAGTCGGTGAGCTCCCAACTTCACCAGTTTGCCACCCGGGTGAGGTCGGGAAACTTGCATAATGGCAGCCTGGGTAAGGTATGGATCAGGATGCTCGACAACCCCAGGAAGTACATGCAAGCGCGACACTCCTCTCTGAGCTTCCGAGACAGGGGAGCGGAAGGACAGGTATGGGTGCATCTGCAAGACTTCCGAAATTCGGAAGAGCGTGGCCACCGGCCAAGTGAGCTAGGAGAGGTCAGCGAAGGTTTGGACGAAGAGCAGGAATGAGCTTGGTTCGGAAGCCACAGTCTGTAGGCTTTTTTGGGGATGGGAAGCCTGCAAAACACGGCGAACTCAGAGCATCGAGGGGCCAAGGAACCAAGACGAACTTGTGCGGTTACGGCAGTGGTCCTTCCACGCCAGGTTTTTTCGACTGTTTCGTGGGCACGTCAAGCATTGAAATGTAGTGCAAATGAACGGGCCCATGGTATCTTAAAGATGACCAATCAGCACCTCCACATGCCATGCCTTGGAGTGTTGTGAAGGTAGCAAATGTGTCACAGAAGCTCAAAGTGGCCGAAAGACCGGCTAAAGACCCAAAAGCAGCCTTACAGAAAGGCCAAAAACGAGCCCTGAAAGTCGGAGATCGGAGTGATGTCGCAATGCGTACTGTCCGTGAGTTCCGAGAGGCCCACCCAGGCGAGCTTCTCAACAAGCTCTCGGCGGTCCTACCGTGGCTTTTCTTACATTTAGAGGTTCTTGGGTTGAGGATTTAGGAAAGAAAGTCCGAGCCTCAGAAGGCGGTTTAGGGTAAGGGGTTGGGGCGTTCTTGTTTAGGCTCTTGAGGGGGCTTCAGGGATCTGTATAAAGGATCCATGAGGCATCCATGGGGGTTTTATCAAGGGTTTCGGAGTTTAGGACAGAAGGAGGCTGTTGCAGATGGTGCGCCCAGGAAGCAACAGTTGAGGAGATAGGGGTTGCTTGAAGTCCTCGGTACACTTGAGTTAGGGTTTATAGCGTTTAGGGTTTCCTGGACCGCTTTTCCACTGCTTTTCCCAACTTGGACTGGTGGGAGCTGCCCCAGTGTATCCTCAGGATCGACAACCTACGCCTCCGCCTGACCACGCCCTTCGTGAGGCCTAGGGTTTTGGTCGAACGTCTGGGGTTTAGGATTTGCTTTGGAAGTGCATGCAGAACCCTAACCCCTGCTGCTAAGCTCTCGACTGTGGCCTGCAACACGGGCTCGTCCTAGCTAGGTGGGAGGCCAAAAAGCCCTAAAACCTAAACCCTAAACCCAGGCAAAAAAACCCTAAACCCTAAATAAAGCCCTAAACCCTAAACCCTAAATAAACCCCTAAACCCTAAACCCAGGCAAAAAAACCCTAAACCCTAAACCAGCCCCAATGAGACCTCCACCTTCGGTTCTGCGAAAGCGCCATTGTCCTCGTCTCGCTCTCTGTCTGGCCAGGCAGAAGCAGGCGGTCTTCGTTGCGGAGGCGCGCTCCTCTTCATTAGGTCTTCATAACTTTGGGGGGGTGGAGTGGCGTTTAGGCCCGAAACATATGACCTCAGGGGTACTACGCCTCTCCGAAAGCCCGTAATTAAGGACGTGGGATGCACCCCCGAACCCTGAAATCCTACTGTCCTACGCCAAGCTGTACACATTCAGTGGCTCCCCTCCAAAACGAACGAAATAAATTCCAACTGCCCTGGCAGGATTGGGGGCCCTGTGCCAGGGGCCTCGCCTGCGTTGCAACGCGCTTTCCGCTGCGCTACCGCCAGGCCACGCTGCTCCACTTTCTGTAAATACGGCCGTAAATTTCAGAGTCCGACGAAGCTAATCCAGTCCCCTTACAGAAGCTTCTGTAGAACACTAGACCTTTTTGAGTTTCCCAAAACCCTACTATGACATGCTCTCATCATCAGGTCTAGGAAAGCCTTCGGTTGAGATGGTTTAGGCCCAGGCAGAAGGAGGGAGGAAGGGCGGAGGAAGACTTCAGGCTCTCCACACAGAGATTCAGAGACTCTGAGTTCGAGGGCTTAAGCAGGCAAGAGCCCTAAACTCCCTACGCTCCCTTTTGGAGCTCCTTCGTCAGAGGCCTGCACGTGTAGAAGGATCTTAAGGTGCTGGTGGTCCGGCATTTGAGCATTTTCCAATGAAAGCCCTGGATTGTCGTTCCACATACCAGGTTTGGTGCGCAGACTCTGCTTCTTGGATGCACAAAGGTTTTAGGGTTTTGAAAGTCTTTACTTTACTCCTTCTTTATAGCTACAGTATATTCATTACATTATATATCTATGAATGTGTAGTTTAATTTTCAGGTCCCTAGAGTATAGACATCGCCCGAAGCCTGCATGAGCGCTTTGTTCGGGGTCAGCTTCTTGGTCTTGTGGCACTCCGTGTTATCTTTCAACATTCTGTCCGCAAGCTGTGACTGCACAAGGAGCCTTTCCAGTGTTTGAGCTGGTAGTCTCGGTAAGAAGAATTTTAGAAGACACAGAACCAAGTGTATATAGGTTTCAGATGACAGGGTTCTCAGTAAAGCATCCCCAGAAGGAGAAACCTTAAAATAAATACGCCCCCCAGCATACCAGAAGATCCTCCATACCGGGATAGCATGTCTTCAAAGCCTAGACCCTAAACCTTGTCCAAGTTGTGAGAGCGTAAACCTTGCTGATATGGCCTTTGTGGCACCCATCAAGTATCACCGTGATTTGCTCGGACTCAGCGGCGGAGTCAACGTTTGAGAGCTTCAACCCCGAAGCCTAAACTGGGTTCTTATAAAGGGATATTGTTTAGGTTGCCATAATAAGGAAACCATTGTTTTTGCTGTAGATCCCTATTATGGTAACTTAAATTAAATCCCCTAACGAGAACCCAGTAAATGAAGCTGACTTCCTTACATTCCCCTAAACCCTAAACCCTAAATCCTTAAGCTCTCGGCCAAGCTGACTTCCTTACAGTCGGCGGAAGGCCTGAGCAGCTCAGGGCTGACACAACCATCCGCCAGAGACCAACCCTAGGAGACCCCTTAACCCTAAGCCCTAAAGGAGGAGACCCTAAACCCTAAAGGAGACCAGCTCTAGGGGACCCTAAACCCTAAGAGGGAAAAACCCTAAACCCTAAAGGAGACCAGCCCCTAAGCCCTAAGCCTTAAAAGAGACCGTACCCTATAGGGGACCCTTCACCTGAAACCTGGGGGGTTCTTTCGGGCATCGGCTGCAGGACAATGTCTCTATCGCCCTGCTTCCAGAGCTTTGCTCGGGACTCATGCCCAGGACGGACAAACCTCCCTAAACCCGACGCCCGAGACCCAAAAAACCCTAAACCCTAGACCCTAGAAGCCCTAAACCCTAGACCCTAAATGCGTCGTAGCAGGGTGGGCGGCAAAAAAAACCCTGGGCTACAGGAAAGCTTTGGGGCCTGAAAACCGGAACCGCGCTTTCACCTTAGCCTGTGAATCCCTGATACTCCATGTCTAGTTCCCTCAAAAAGCCCTGAGCCCGAAACCCTGCTGCCTGTAAGCCAAAAAGCCCCTGACAGGATGGAGGAGCCGTGCCCAGTTGACCTCATCCCACCTGAGTGTGGCTGGATGCTTTCCCTGCGTTGGTGGTTTGTATTTGTTCGTTCAGTATCGGGGCTTTATTAATTATTCAATACTAGTTTGGAAGGTCGTAAAATATTTCACTCCAAACCGATTAGGGCTATCCGGTTGGTCAAATTGCGAGAAGAGCGTCGAGGGGGACCCATCTCTGCTCAAGTTTGACCTGTACAACGCACGTAGATTTCATTAGATATTCAGCTACACGGAACCCCTGGGAGCTTAGCGCCGGGATCCTCGGCTCTGAATGTCATAATCTGCCTGTCCGAGGACCATTGGAAGCTGGTCACCGTGCTTCTCTTTGCCACCTGCCGAGGCGATCTAGCTCAATTTGGGAAATCGGGGCCCGAAGCTCAAAGGCCTTAAAAGCCTCGCAGAAAGTTACGAGACACTAGACTTCCGGAAATCAGTGCCCTGCATGCGGGCTTGGTCCGTAGGAGTGACGGCCCGAGATCAGGTGACAGACAACACGACCGAGCAGTGCAATGCTACCGGCATGGGGAAGCAGTACCGGGGCGTATCTTGCTTATCCTCGGGCAGCGTGCCGGAAGCCGATGAGTGCAAGCTGCCTCGACCCTCAAGGGATCGGTCTTGCCGTTGCATCTCCAGCCAGGTGGGGAAACCTGCGATCAAAAGCCAGGTTCAGGGTGTTAAATTGAGGCCCGATAAGGTTTGCCGAGTTCAACGGTCCGTGGTCTTGGACTAGAACCATAAAGGTTGCTGCAGCGCTCAGCCGCGTGAGGTGTCGCAACTCTCGCTGCTCGACCAGGGCATTGGGGACTCCAGCGTCCAGGTGGCATCCGCAAGCATGACGCTGGTGGGCGTACTGACGGCCTGCGTGCTTTGCACCTGCATCTCCTTCGGCTGCTTCCTAATGACAAGCCGGAGGTCTACGACAGTGAAGAAAGCAGATGCCCTGGCTGAGTTCGATAGTTACGTGCTGACGAGCAAGGAGAAGCAATACAAGCAGCGCGTCGCACCAGCAGCACCTGCCCAGGAGCAACAGGACGTCACTGTATGTGTGGCAAACTCCCGGCAGAACACCCGCGAACTCGCATCTGACTTTGATACAGCATCCACTGCCAGCGTGGGGTCTGCGATTCCATCTCCAACTTCCACTGGCTCCAGGACGCTTTGTGGAGGGCCGATTAGGCACAGCCCGTATCTCTGCTCCTCATGAAATCATATTCTTGGTATCAGTGTTATCACTGTCACTGCTTTTCATGATTGTCATTCTCATTCTTTCTTCGTCCTCCGGTTAGTATAGGTATTCTAGCTCTGCCAGGACGACCCAGACGGCACCTTTGGCATCCCCCTGTTCTGTTTCCTCCGTGGCTTCTCAGCCGGTGAGAGTGTCACCCCTGCCATCGCCTTCCACTCTGTCCCGAGGACGCAAAGTAATGCAGACCCCTGACTCCACCATTACTGAGCACCCTTTCCTTCAAGGTGGGGGGATCTCTCACCGGGGGGTTCTAGATTATGGGATTTCGAATTTCTGCACCATGCAGCCGCCGGGCATCCAAGTCAAAGCGCCGCCTGACAAACATCGAGAAACAGTGCAGGCTTGCTAAGCCCGATCGATCCTCCACCCCGAACCGGCCCCAAACCTCAAACGAGAACCGAGGTCAATTTCCTCCATCAGCGCTGTCCTGCAGTCGCCTGCGCATTCCGCCGGCTATGGCTCAGGCGCAGCAGAGTCTGGCGAAACAGTGTCCGGCCTGCACTTAGTTTGGAGCACGGTTCCCACGGTATCCTGAGGTTAGACTGACGTCCCCTAGAAACTGCTGAGGCTTTGTAGGGGCATCAGGCCTGGGAAAGGCAACCTATCCTTTCCATAACTCTTATGTTAAAATTAAAAGGCTTTTTCTTGTCCGCCTATATCGGCTCGTGGAATCCCTAGGCCTGCATCCCCGACTCAATCCCAGTCGTATTCTGGCTGTTCCGAGCGCATAGCCGAAGAAACCCCAAAACTTCGAAGTATTTTATGCTGCTGGCTAGCTGCAATGTGCTGCTGCTCGGACTCGTAACGAACATGCAGAGCTTCCTGCGACCCAGCATGCGAGATGGAGTTATAGCCTCAGAGCTCTGATTCTAAATCTCACACCCCCGGGGAGCCCGGGTGGCGATATCCCCTCAACTCCTTACCTGATATTGGACTCCCTCACCAAACTCCGTCACTTTAGGCTCTCTGCTCCAAAGGTATTCCTAGCGCTGAGCTCCCCAAGCAACGCGGGCAGCCCGACCCGGTCACCCAAACGCCGGCCTACGCTACCCGCCGTCTCGGAGACGGAGGCAAATCGTCTAATATAGGGGCCTCAATAAGTACCTATATTATTTTGGGGGTTCCTTATTATAGTCATAGTATACTGGGCCAAAAAAACTTTATTCTAATTATTAAGGCCCCTATATTAGCGCAGGTTTTCAGGAGACCTTCTACAAAGATTACTACACGGGCTACTCGTCACAAGGCTTTCTGGGAGGGTCCTAAACTGCTGGAACCCTCCCCCTCATGGTGATATCACCGCCAAACCTTTAGTTTTTGAAGGGCTCTTGTTTCAGGGTCTGACGGCTTCAGGGCTTGGGGTGAGGCTTTGAGAGTCCAGGGGGCGAATCGCATAGGTGCATTGAATGTAAAGGACACGGGAAGCAGACATACAAAGTAGCAAGATACGGAAGAACAGCTTTCAATCACTTTTGCCGATGTTCGCATGCGTGACGACATCCGAAATGTTGCGCGGCCTGAAACAAGACAGTCTGCAATCTCTCCGGATGTGGCCACAGCCAAGCTAACCCGCAAAGGCAAACCCCCGAATGAAGACGGAGAATAATCAACGAAGGCTGCAGAACCCCCTACATCCCTCAAGTGTTAGGTGGGACCTTGTCGTGTGTGTTCTGCCCTCAACTCACTTCGGAACCTGTCACTTCGCCGGCTCTAGACCAGATGCCGCGTGAGCGCCGCAATCCCTTAAGCCTTCAGCCCTAAGCCCCGAATTTCCGACTGGTCCTTTCGTAGGCACACGTGAAGACGGAAGAGGGGCGATTAAGATAAAAGCAGATAACCTCTGAACTTAAAATCAAGTGTAAGCAAGAAGCAGAGGAGAGCAAGATAAAGCATGGCTCTTCCTTAGGACACAGTATCAGAGTGATGCTACAATATGCCCCAAAACCCGATTCTAACCACAAACCCTAAGCCCTGCCCCAAACTCCTAAACCCTTGCCAGCTGGGCGGGTGGGACAAAACTTATTTCACCACTGTTACCCTACATCACCGCAGGCGCATTTGACGCAGACGAGCCCAGAACTGCCAGTCGACCATCCACACTCCCTGGCCTCTGACGAGCTGAGATCGGCGCAGGTTCCCAGCAGTTTGGGAGAAATCAGGATTAGGCTTAAAGGGTTATAGAGTTTATTTGTGTAGATGTTATCTGTTGTAGAGTATGCTTTAAAAGTTGCATAGTCTATATCACTCAGTACCTATGAGCTATGCTTCTATAGGGCCTTCCTCGCAGTTCTGACGGTTTCGGTGTGTTTCTGTTCGTGCTTTCGGATTTTTTCGTCGCCCCGGTTCTTCCAACAGAAGTCCTCCGGCTTTCGAAGGCCCCCAATTTGGGGGCCACCACCATGAGATCAGAGGCTTAGGGTTCAGGGGATGAAATGACAAAAGATGATGTTTAGGGTATAGGTGTTGAGAAGATGATGGCAGGTCGTGGTCTGGCCAGACTTGAAATCCGGTAGCAAGAAGAGGCTATGAAATGAGTTCAGATGATCGTGGATCTGAAGATGGAGGGCTTGGTGATAGCATGTCGTACCCCAAAACGATTGTAAGCCCTGGACTGACGCTTTACATCGGATGCCTCACCGGAAAACCTCGGCTGAGGAACCCGACGTGAAGAGAAAAGACCCCACGGCTTAGCGCCTAAGCCTCTTTTGGTCGTGTTGCTCCGTTTCGCGTGCAGACTTGGGGCAAAAACGGAAGACTTGCTAGTCGAAGGGGGGTTAGGACCGCACTCTTGTGCCTCAAAAGGGTAGATTCGGATGCAAAAAACCCATACATGTTTTCATTCAACACGTTCAGTTTATCACAACTGACAGGAAAAAATGCAACCAACGATGAGCTTAATTGAACATAGCACTTTTGCGGGGTTTCTGTGGCCTTGCAGTTGTCGACAAGGAACGCAACATTTTTAAATAGAGTTCCGGCTGTCGTGCTAGAAATTTGGCTAGCAACGAGACGCTGCAACGCATGACGACGAAGTGCCTCTTCTGGCATGCCTCTTTTTCATGCCCTTGGCCACCATTCAAACCTGCTTGGCCCAAGCCGAGTGGCGAGAGCATACGCCTCAACCTTGACTCTAAAGCCTATACCCTAAAACCCTAAAGCCTAAGCCCTTTAGCTCCCGAGAAACAGGAGCTGAAGGTTGCTTCAGGGCGGCCGCGAAGGAAGAAGAACCTCGGCGTCAGGCTTCAGGAATTTTGCTTTCATATACCAGTAAGGGCAGCAGTCGAGTCCCTTATGAAAAAATATACCAGAATCAGGGGAACTTCGTTTCTTCTGTAGATGTTAGGGTGTTGAGCCCTTAGATTGAGCAATCATCGTAAGGAGAGGATTTGGTTTCCAGTGTGTGTGTACGTATGTATGTACGTATGTATGTACATATGTATGTATGTATGTATGTATGTATGTATGTATGTATGTCTGTATGTTTTAAATAAATAAACAGGTATGAATATGTATGTATATATGTATATGATATCATATGTATACATATATATATATACACATACACACATATATAAGCCAATCAATCAATAAACAATAAATAAATCATGTAAATATGTATTACACACCCCGTGTCAGGTATCTTGGATATAGGCTCCTGTTATCGAGAACCCAGGAACGCACCCCGGCCGCCCACCCTGCAGATGGACCTTTGTGGTCCCGAGGAGGATCAGGCACAGTCATAGAAATTTTGTAAGGGTTCATAGCTTCAGGCTCTTTTGCGTCGCTGATGTGCAGCTCATTTTCTTGGCTCTCGATCGTTTGTCTGAAGGTCATCCGTGGGGATGTGCCCTGAACATGAAACCAAAGACGACGCAATATCCAGAAAGTTTGTTTCTGAGATTTTTCACGATAATTAGAGTATAGTGGGCCCCAACAGCCCTGTTCGAATATTTTATTTAAGGTCTCTACATCACTACATCACTCAAGAATCCTTGCACCCTGCAGTGAGACTCTGTCAGATATGCCGGCGGCAAGGGTTCAATGACCCGTAGCTCACGCCCTTGGGGTGGCAAAAGTGGCCTGGGGCTGATAGGAGCCGGAACGGGCCTTAACCTGTAATCAGAACCTCATCGTCAACAGTCTGGAACACTTTTTGTGCAATTTGATGTGGCTTGGAGGAGTGATGCTTGGTCATTACGGTACGTAGCATGACTCGTTTGGACTAAGGCTTCTCATTTCCGGCAACCCTGCGCTGTAGTCGCAAATTCCCAACAAAAGAATGAAGCCCACAGTAGGCCACGTTCGTGATAGAAACGCCGGCCGTGCCCAAGGGTGCAAGATCCAAACCTTCTCCAACTTCGCCTCACTCTGGGAATCCAAGACTCTGAACCCTAAGCCTTAAACCCTAAACCTTAAACCCTAAACCCTAATCCCTAAGCTGTGGGAGGGAAAAAAACTTTAAACCTTAAACCCTAAACCTTAAACCCTAAACCCTAAGCTTTAAACTTTATACCCTAAACCCTAAACCTTGGGCCTTCCACAATGAGGATTTTGCTTAGCTGGGATTGGCAAGGCGGGAAAAGGCGCTCAAAACAAAAACAAACTGGGACCCTAAACCCTATAAACCTTAAACCCTAAACCCTGGGACCCTAAACCCTAAACCCTAACCTTAACCCTAGATCCGAAACCTTCTCGGACAGGAAGCCGTACCTTTTGCTTCGCCCTCCAAGCGCTCACCTCAGAAGACTCGAGACACTCCCGCCGAGCGTGGCGACTTCTCCCCGGCGCCCTGGCCTCTTTAGGGTTTGGGGTTTTTAGGGTTTAGGTTTTAGCTTTAGGGGTGTAGGGTTTAGGGTGTTTAGGGTTTAGGGTTTAAGGTTGTTTCATACAGGGTCGTAGGTAGCATTCGGGAGACCCCTTAAAGGGGACCCTTCTGAACCCTATGGCTCTCTTAAGAGGGACCTTATTGCGAGCGGATAATTACCTTAATGGGGATCTATAGTAGATGATATGGGCTCCTTAGTATGGTGACTGAAATTAAATCCCCTAACAAGTAACCCATACAGGGGTCGGAACAACGAGCAAAAAGTGCTAACCCCCCCGCCCCCCCCATCCTAAACACGCGTGAACCCTGCGGAAGAAAGAAGCCTAAGCCGTGCATCCAAATGTTTTCCACATCCCAAAGAGTCGAAAAACCCCGCCTTCGTGCCACCACAGTCTTACAGTATGTTGTGCATGGTTTATACCTTATAACCTAACTTGGAGATCCAGTTATTTCTCGGTTGCAGGGTGGTGCAGCCTTCCAGACTCTGTATCCGCCGGCGTTTCTAGCAACGCCGGCTGAGGTATCTTGAAGCCATTGAGGGTTGCTGGTGCTTTCGCTTCGGGCGTGAGGGCCAAGAGGGTTCCAAAATATGTCCAGACAACCCAAGGCCTGTTTGAGCTGCACGCAGTTGTTCATTCTTACTTGTAACTTTAAACCAGATTATTAATGTCGCGTTGAGCACTGAAAAGCACTGAGGGTTCCTTATGCTC